CAAAGGTTGGGGACCGCTGCTTTAATCGCATTGGCAGTGTGTTTAGGAGCATGTCATGGTGAAAACTGAAGCCAGTGTCAATCGGACACGCCAGATTCTATTGCATAGTGGATGAAAATCTGATTATACTTTTCTGTATTCATAATTTCATCAATTTTGACAAGATCTCCAACACCACTGACTGAAATGCAGTCACAAACCATGACAGAGGCTCCGCCGTGTTTTTCACATGGCTGAAGACCCTCAAGAAAAACTCTGAAAGACCTGTAGGCACCGGGGAACTACTGGATATAACCACTTAAAAAAAACCTCAGACAAAGTCTATCTTCTTGAAAGCAAAGTATAAAGAAACATGTCTTCTGTCATGATCAATATTGAATGAGCACGACCTTTCGAGGAGAAAGAGTTTGAATAAATGCATCCATCAAATCAGAAATAACTCCTTTCTGAGTCGTCATTTCATTTACATCTTTGAAGATTCATGACAGATCTTGTTTTTCTTAGAATTTGAAAATACTAATAGGCATTTTATTTTCTGAAAGGAAAACAAAGAAATGGCACGACAGAAGATTGAAGGATAACAAGTGGCCCTTTGAGTAATTAGATTTCTGCTTTCGTTATTAGCAGAGGAAAGAGGAAAGACATTTTTAAAAGTCAAAGCCGAGGGGAATTGACGAAAATGTCAATAACTGTGAAAATAGGTTTTCTCTGCTCTTTGAGGGCTAAAGAGAAAACAAGACCAAATGTGGTGCTCATGAAAACACACGCGGTGTTAAGGGAATCGGTTATATCTAAGGCTGCATTATCATGTTTCTTGGACCCATCTTCATTCTCTGATTTTGGCAATCATTGCACAGAACAGGCTAATTAATTTTACATTAATTTATTTTTTTAAGTTTGCTGTTCAAAATTGCAAACTCCGACTAGTGATAGTCTGAAAGTTGTATTATAAGCCTGTGAAAAGCAAGCGCACACGCAATCAGAGCGATATGGCTACATAAACGGTGTATTGTGGCCCTGTTAAACGGGGCCTTAACCAGGGCGCCCAGCTAGCATTCAGTGAGTGACGCCCCCACAGCCGCATGTTGCTTTGTATATACGGGAGATTTATACGGTCCACTTATCAAGCAGCAGCATGTACTGTATGCGTTCTTGTATTCCACATGGACATGCTGTCCAGTGAGGCCACAAAACAGTCTCGCTCATCAGTGAAAAGACAAGAAGGCTTCACTTTGTTTTCCCCTCTCATATCTTTATTGGTGTGTGAGAACATGTTCTAGACAGGAGCATTGTTCATGTCGTGCTCTTTC